AACACTGAAAGAAAGCTGAATTAAATCAATAATTATCCAAAACCCATCCTCACTTCTGATTGCAGGCTGAGAAAACATAGGGGAAAAAAATGGAAAATCGTAACGGTCAATTAATCATTAGCCTTCATATTGCAGCCCCACTAGAGAATAAAAGTAAATCCTAATACAGTTCGCAACAAACACATTTCTACATTAAAATATTGTGAAAAAATAGAAAGATTGGCACAAATTTATGATTTAATAAAAAATATTCCTTAATTAATGTCAAAGGGGACGGAAAGATTAGAAATTTAGCAACTTTACTAAATTATGAGTAATTTCAATTAAGAAGTCTCAACAAAATTTAAGGCATCTTGAAAATCACAATCTTCCATGTGTTTCTGCTAAGAAAATGCAAGAATATAAGAAAATTGTAAAATTCGGTCTCCATTAATGCACCACATGCTTTGAAATCTGTCAGCCTTGAACTAAAATCCCAATAAAACCAAGCCTAAAATTCAAGTTTATATAATTAACAAAACAAGATAATAAGATTTAATGAACTCACCGGAATTTCCTTCATTCGCCGTTTCTGCATAAGGTCGCCGCCGGAAGATGCATCAGAATCAAACATGACTCTCTGAGCATTAGACCAATCATTGTTGAAATTCTGAACAATCAGAATCCCATTAACCTCCCTATGACCACCGCCGCCAGCCATAATAGAAAACTTCAAAAATGCAGTAACCACCACCAGCATCAACAGCAGCCCCGAAATTACACGAGCCATATTTGTTCTTGATCTCAAAGAGTGCAATATTGAATAAGCACTTAATAAAGATTCTTCCACGCCCAAAACCCAATTCTCCGGTACCCTTTTACGCACTAATAAATACGTAATCATCGGGTAGTGGTGGCGGTGATGGTGATGGTGGCTGCCACCACCATTAAGTTGATACCCACCGACATTATCATCAATTGACGTTTCTGAATCATCATCTTCTGGAGAATTATCACAAGATATCTGTACATGGTCTAATGATTTCTCGACGTTGTTGGTGGAGTCTGGAACACGGCGACGGTGAGTACTTGTAGGGCCGCCGGGCATAGAACTGCCATTGGTGCCGGAATTAGTTGTTCCACCTTTTGACATTATCAATAGTTCCCTAGAAAGTCAAAAAAAAAGTGAGAAAATAATGGAAAAGCAGTGATTGAAAAGCGCGCCGTAAATTTCGATGTGCTAATTTTCTATAGATTCGAATTATCTTTTTTCTTTTTTCTTTTTTTAGTGTATTTTTTCACTCTCAAAAAGCTGTAAGCTTGATCTTCGGCGTTAACGCGTACAGAAAGGAAAGAGAGGGAGAGAAGACTTGTGTTTGAAGAATTTGTGAGACACACCCACACATATGGTCCTATTTGGTATTCATATTTTTCAAAATATATATTTTTTTTCTTTTTAAACATATATTCTTTATTAAAATAATATTATACGCAAATAAATTTTTTTTTCAACTATACATTTTTCATCAATTTACTAATCTAAAATACATTTTTACATAAAAATGGGTCTCAAACAACCATATATATATATATATGAACATGCCTCTTATGGGATGGCCGAGTTGGTTGAGCAAATGAGCACGAAAGCATTTGGTCACGAATTTGATTTCTCCTATCAATATTTTTTCGGTCTAACCTGCCACACAGGGTTTGTTTAGTACGGTTTAACTGACTGACGTGATTTGCAGGTTATTACATCAATTCAAGATTTTATTCAGTCCGCACGGGAGTTACCATATGGGTTAACAGCTTTGGCCTATCCATGTGCTCTCCACCCTGGCTCCTGGGAGGCACATCCTGCGATTTACCTCCTCCACGATGACCCAGGACAGGATCCGTGGGGACTCTTAAGGTTGGGGTTCAACCTTTTAAAAAGAGAGGGAGGGACAGTATCTCTGTCTAAATTGTTGTCATCATTCTCGGGACTAACGTTGTAACTTTGTGATAATTATGAGGTGGATTTGTACTCTTTACAAGATTGGGAAACTTGTTGTGACGAAAATACCCTTGATAAGTAAGATAAAGATCAAGATAAGTAAGAGTTTATTAGGGAAATTTCAATAGAGGTTACTTAACTTATAGGTTTATTTCGTGTTGGTTTGTTTGATTTCAAATTGTTTCATTTTGATGACTCAATTAACACTTTTGCTTCATTTGACAGTTTGTTGGTAGTCGTGGTCAAAAACTAATGGCCATTTCCACGTAGTAGATGGAATCTTTGTCAATAATGAAAACTCAACTTAGTATCATTGATCACTCTATAAAGCATGTTCGAGAATGCTTCTTCAAACTTATAAGTTGGTCAAATATCATTTTCATCTATATATTTCGTAAGATTACTGCTTTTACTCAAATTTTATATTTACATTATGCAAGACACATCGTTTATAAGCAATTAAATTGTTTAGCAAATGTTAACCCAATGCCTAATCAAACATTTTGTAGTCACAGAGAATGTTCATCAATTTTGACCATGGCAACAGATAGAATGATAAAAAATGCAATTAGGTAATCCAAATGAACATAAGATGAGGACTAACATGAAATGCTTAAAAGTTGAGTGAGTTTTATTGAATTTAATACAATCCATTTAAAAATTCGTTTAGAACGGTAAATGTCCAATTTAAGGAATGTTTAATTTAATTAGGAATCACTAATTATTTTATTTATTGCATTTAGGCAGGTTCACGTGAACCCAACTTTTTTTGTGTCACTTCCTTGCCAAATAGAAAGTACACCTTAAAGCTATATTTGGTATGACACCATTAAGCTATCTTTTAGATATTTTGTTAATTACTTAATTTCGAATTGTGAATAATTTTTATTTATTATTATTATTTTGGTACCATATACTTCTATAATTGCATGCATATATATATATATATATATATATATATAGACACACACACACACGCACACACACACTATAGATGACAACGGCACTAATAACTATAATTGACGTCAAAACTTATTGATTGTATCTGTTCGAGATAACAATAAGAAATATGCATGGTGTACAACTCTAAAAGCTGTACACCCCTTACAGCGAATATATGTAATGTTTCTCCACATAGATTAATCTTTTTAATCTCAATTAGTTAAAATAATCTTAACCCTATTTGTTTTTGATAAAAAAATAAAAAAAAATCATATTTTTAGTAAATTTTGAGAAAAATTTGATGAAATATGTGTTAAAAATTTGATAAAGTTATGGATTTCATCTCATAAAATGTGTAGTTAAAAATGAATTTCAAAAATAAAAAAATGGTCAAATAGAGATTAAGTATGATTACTACGTCAATAATAATATTGAATAAGAAAATAATTTGCCCCCAGGGCACATCTCCAAGTGGTAAAAGAGGAGGGTGGAGAAATCCAGCTTTACTTGAGGCTGTCGCGTCAAGGGTTCGAATCCTGAAATATGGATTTGGCTCTTGGGTAAGTGCAAGTGTACAAGCAGCCTTTCACCTTGTATCGTTGGAGGCATAACCTGCGATTTACCTCCCTCACGATACTCCAGGGCAGGGACGGTGGGAAACACTTAAGGTTGGGGTTCAACCTTTGAATAAGATAATAATTTGATAAAATGTGATAGTAATTGTACATTTATTGTGAAGTCAAAGTTACTCCTTGCAAGACTCTTAGTCTTCCTTTTATTAGAGAAAGTAGTGTTAGGAATACATTGATTCATCTAGATGGCTATCGTTTACCTACTTTTCTTTGAAAAAAATGTCTCTTCAATGTTCGTCACCGTTAGTTATATATTTGTATGGATGTCTCTCTACAGACTTAGTCCGAGGTGTCTAGTTGTTATGTTCAAATAGTCTACTTGTACCAAGTGTGTTGCATTTTTACTTATACAAGTTATAATGTGACCTAATATCAATACAATATTTATTTTAATAATCAAATATTTTCTCACAAATTTCCCCTTGGTGATACTACCATATACAATACAATACAATACAAGAAAGAAATGAATGTTTTGTTTGACAAAATTTTTGATAAAATATCATCATACACATGATTTAATATATAATTAATAAAAATTGTGAATCTTATAAAATATATAATTAGATTAAATTTTGATTAGTTGAAGAGTTGAAACAGCAAAATAAAAATAACATGTTTTAAATTAGAGAAGTCAGTGAAAGATATGACATTTGGAATCGTCCTTATTACTTGAATACAAGGCGTGTTTTATTGGCATTTGGCTTTAAACGTGGCATTGAAGTTATGGTTTCATGCGTTTGTCTCTTTACTTTTCAAGTCAAAAGATTATTAATTTCTTAAAACTATTTTTTGAAAAAAAATATATATATATTTCTTTACATTACAATATTTAAAACAATAAAAATCAGTATAAACATTAACATGAAAAAGATAAAAGGGTAAAAGGTCAAGGTTGGCAAAAATGAAACTGAGGACTTGTCGTTTATTAATATGGTGGGACAAAATAAACGGGGTTCACATATAATCAAATTGACTTTTTGATGTGCGTTTTCAGGGTTGTTTGACCAAATTTTGATAAAATCCAAAAATAGGTTGTTGAAAAGTTTATAAAAATTGCAGATCTCATAAAATGTGGAGCTAAAATTAATTATTGATTTTAACCTCAATTTTTAACATTTTTTTAAATTATCCAAACTAGAAAACACTGCATGAGATAGTGTGATTGTGAGATCACTGAAAGTTCTCCACGAAGTGCTAAGCAAATTTAACACGTCTTTAACCATTGAAAAAGAGAATTTCTAGGGCACGATAGTCTACAACAGGTTAAAGTTGACGTTTTATTTCGTCTGGCTCTTCTACAACAAGTATTTGAAAAATTGTGAGATATCATATCCTACGAATTAGTTGTCATGGGCAGATCCTCGGGGGGGGGGGGGGGGGCCCCGGGGCCCCCCCCCCTTTTTATTTTTTTTTTTTTTTTTTGGATAAATCCTGTTTGATATCGATTGAAATCTAAATTTTAATCTAAATCATAGTTAACAATTAATTTTAATAATATATTTCATGGAATCCTTAACTTTTATCAAAATATACTAAAAATTTGATTTTAACCTCTAGCATATAGGGGCAAAATTACAATAAATTTGAATTTTTTTTTCCTTTTTTCTCTTATTCTATCTCATGTTCTCCCTCACACCTTTTATCAAAATCTTAACCCTTCTAATTTTTTAAAAATTGTCTATAATTTTTCTACAAATTATCACACTACTACAAATTTTCACTTTTCAATCAAATTTTCAATTAATTATAACCTAAATTTGCACTTTCTTCCATCCTATTTGTATACATAGAATGTGTTTGAACTAATTATATCAAATTTAACTTATATTTAACGAATTGTATTTATTTGATTGAATATTGGTTATATATTTTTCCTTTCGATCACTTAAATTAATTGTTTATATTAAATAGACTATAAATTTTTTAAACATAGATATACGTATTCTTGTGATGAGTAAAATATTAATAAAATGACTATTTGAAATCAAATAGATGAAAATAATGAGCAAATTATTAATAAAGAAATATTTTTAAATGTAAATCTACATTTTTTCGAATCAAGTATAAATCATTCAAAAATCAAGAACAAAGTATTCGATTTGTACAGAATTTAATTGTGTTTCTCTAACTAAAATTTTTTGCGTCCGTCCGTTAGTTGTCAAATATTTTTTAGAAAGACAATTTAGTTCACCACGTCACGAATATTCAAGAGATCAAATATTAGTACCGTATGGTTGTGGATAGGTCCTACGCCGAGTCTTAGTCATTATTAGACCGTGTGATGAGCGGCACCTTCGAAATCCAAGGTCGACACGTTAAAGCCGGTCGGGGTGAACCTTCTATGATGTTTCATTGGTTCAAGAATTAGACACGGTGCATCCTGTTGGTTCATCATCATTTTTAAATTTTTTTATTTGCAGTATTTATTTATTTGGCTTTTGCTTAGAACCATGTAGCCTTTTTTCCAAGTGGAGGAAATGGGAAATCAAGGGGCAGCTATATTTCTCATTAGCTTACTTAACATTAATATATTCTCTTACTTCTATTGTTTCAATGATTTCGTATTTACTATTTTTGTGAGTTGACATTAACTATTTTATTTTATAATAATTCTATATAGTGCCGATAATGTTGAATACAAATTATGTGCACTAGTCATTCTAAGTCTATTGATGAGATGAGACTAAAGAAAGCTTGAAGTCAAACGCAACTCAAAAGGTTATTATTTATTTATACAATCGTAAAACTATTGAATAACCACTACATTGTAGGTTATTTTAGTCTCCCATGGGGACATAAAGCATGAAAAATGACCTACTATCTTCCACTCCAAATTGACCCATAGTTTTATTTGATTGAGCCCAACATCACCATGAGCTCGTCGCGAATGACTACCCCGAAAATTAATGAACCCGTCCTCTCTCCTTTTATTTGTAGTGTTCATTTATAGGATTTTGGTTAGGACTGCATTGGCTTTTTCCATATCAAAATGTGAAACCAAGGGATATATATTTTCTTCATTTGTATATTTATAGGCTCTTTTCAAGTCAACATAATACTAAAAAATCTGAGTTATGGATTTTTTAGAAGTCAATAGAATACTATTCTTGTACACGAGTCACTAGGAAACCACATGATGAGACGTGACGAAGAAAATCTGGACTCGAGGATAACTCAAATTGTTATTATATATTTACATAATAGTAAAATCATTAATCATCCAATACCTTTGGCTTGTCTCCAAACTCAAACTCGAGCATAACTCAAATTGTTATTATATATTTACATAATAGTAAAATCATTAATCATCCAATACGTTTGGCTTTGGCATGTCTCCAAATTCAAAATATGACTTCGCCTCCTTATATAAATAACTGTCAAATTACGGTATTTTAAAAGGCTCAAATTTTTAAAATCATGTTGGGCAAAATCAATCCAATTACTGGACAGAAAAACATAGCGAAAGCATTGCCAGATTAAGTTGAATAATCCTATTCGGTACCAATGGCATTTCAATTTCCGTCAAGGTTTTAGAAGTGATATTAAATGAGATATACAGTTAAATGAATTAAATAATTCTACCTTTAAGCAAATACACCATGTTGACCCCAAAAAGTGCGCCAACAGATGCCGGTCCCACCCGCGCTTGCGTGAGCGAATGTCCAACACGCTAAGACACGTGGACGGTCTAAAACGAGTGGTTCAAAGGGGCGTGGGAGTAGCCCAACGATGCGGGACGGTGGCGTTCGAAATTCGGCGGGTTGTTCGTAATCCGATTGTACAATAATTACCAACCGGTGCTCGTAAATGTATATGTAAAAGTGTATGAACTTGATTTGTGTATTGCAGGTAAAATGAGAGAGAGTTGAGTAAATGTAGTCTTTAGTATTGATTCTTGCATTAGCCTTTGACATTACACAATGGAAGTATTTATAGTGATACATATGAAATGGGAGCCCTTGGATGAAGTGACACGTGGCATCATCTCTTTAGTTCAAACGTCTTTTCTTAGGTATGGGGCTTGACTTGCTAGCTTACGGCGCATTTATTGCTTGCGCAGGTCCTCCATAATAGTGACAAGACTTGACCTTTATGCTTGTGACAAACGTTCCATCAATCATTCGAATAAGATCTCTGAGCAGGCAATCTCTTGGGAGAAGTGACTGTGGAGGAAGCTCCTTGTGGTTAAGAGGCTCGTGCATCAGTTTCGGGGCTTCGACCATTTGACAAATACTTCCACTTGAGGACCTCAGCTACATTCAACAGGTTCCATGCTTCGGGTCATAGGCCTCGGTAGTTGGACTGGGTCAAGGAGCCACGGCAGATGGACCTCGGCCTGAAGCACTTCGGATATAACCCACCTCGGCAATGTGTGCCACCTCAGCAGGAATGCCACGTGGATCAGGATGAGTGAGCCATTGGCCCAGGTGGGTAGGACAGGTGTGACAATACGCAACAATAGTCCCCCCAAGTCCAAGTATAATCATTAATGTAATGCGTGGACTTTAATGGAGTAAAAGTTGAAAGAATTTTTGAACCCCAAATAATAGTCCCCCAAGTCCAAGTATAGATATTCATATCATGGTTGGAGTTTGAGAAGTGTTGCTGCGGGTGAGCGACGAAGTAGGCGAGGTGTCTAATCTCTGAAGATGAGCCGAGGTGGTTGAGTAGACGAACCTGCGAGGCTTTGATGCTGAATGGTGAAGAGGAAGCCGAGGTGGTGAGGAACCGAACCTGCTGAATGGCGAAGAGGAAGCCGAGGTGGTTGAGGAACCGAACCTACGAGGCCTAATTGCTGAATGGCGAAGAGGAAGCCGAGGTCCAATGGTAATGATTGTGCCTTAGCTGCTGTGCCAATGATTTGATGTTTTATGCTTGTTTTCGAGGAAAAGTGGCTGAATTGTTACGACTTCCAAGGCCCTGCTGCCGTCGAATTAAAAATGCAATTATGAGGACAGCTGGCGTTTCTAGAAGCAGACGCGTTGGAGAGGTGCATGGGAGGCACGCATAAATCTGAAGCGTACTTTTGAATTCAACGCCTCGGATTGGATCTGAAATGGAGGGCTCGGATTGACTGAGATTTGATCTGACAGCTGGGGTTCGTCTTGGACCATTATAAAAGGCAAGAAAATCCCAATTTTCAGGATTTTTGAACACTTTGCACTCTGAAACTCTCTCAAATCTCCAAATTTTCCGGCGTCGAGGTTGACTGTAATATTAGATTCCGGCCAGTCTCCGTTTGTGTCGAATTCCCTTAGGTATTGTTTGCACAAAAACCCTTCTTACTGTCTTTTTACTGAGAAAATTGAGTCCACTTCGGGTAGGGAGCTTGTTACAGTGGCGTCTTTAGACTATGGGGTCGGTCACGGGGGATGTCCGAGGTGGATAGGTATGCCATGGCCGAGGAGCCTGTAGATTATACCCAGGAGTGGGAGGCTTCTAGGGTGCCTTCGAATATGATGGGGAAGAGGTTGGAGGAACTCAGGGAGAGGTACAGTGTACCCCACTACATGGAAATGTTAGTCCTGGAGCCGAACGAGCGAGCCTGCTATCCGAGGCCCGACCGCGTGGCCGTCAGTGAATACCTGTTCGAGGCAGGTATGCGTCTTCCTCTGCACCCCTTCTTTAGGGCGGTGCTTAGAAAATTCATGCTTTCATCGACCCAGGTTCTGCCGAATGGGTGGAGCCAGCTGGTCGGCTCGTACTTCCTGTGGAAGGAAGTGTCACTTGGGGAGGACATGCATTTTCATGTGTTCATGACCCTGTTCCAGCCTCAGGTAATTGGGAAAGAGTCAAGGAGGTGGTACTACCTCACGCCTTGGGGAGCTCACGCACCCTTTGTGGTGGGACTTCCTTCCTCTATCAAGGGGTGGAAGGAGTCCTGGTTCTGGGTGCGAGGTAAATGGCAGGCAGTGGAGGGGGACAAAGCCCTATCATGCACAGTGCCGACCCAGTACTACGAAGCTCGTGAGTCTCCGACCTCTGCTTGTCTTTTGAAGTCAGAATATGAATTCGTCTAACTGTTGGGGGTTCCTTTGCATATAGTAGTACGAGGTTCGAGCTCAGTAGGGAGGAATTCGAGGTGATAGAGGACATTTACAAGAGGCCTCTGAAGCTTCGACACTTCGATCACCTGATTGATAGGAGCAGATACTTTCTGGACTTCGAACCGATGGCATCCAGAGGTACGAAGCCCCAACACTTAAATTTTCCTATCCCTTGTTTTTATACTGATGCTGATCTGACCTATTGCGCAGATAAATTCAAGAAGAGGGAGTACCAGCTCCAGACATGGCCTCTATTTTGAAGGCCACGTCTACTGTGAAGGCGAGGCCGCTGAAGCCTGGGTCCAGCGGGGCAAAGGAAGTCCGAGGCAGGGTTGAGCGCCTGTCCAAGGACTGTACTCCCAGGGCTTCGAAGGAGGCAACTCCTCAGAGGTCAGAGAAGCCGAAGGAGCCTCGGGGTAAGGAGAAAGTCCCTAAGGAGACTAAGAAGAGAAAGCTGGTGCACATCTCGAGTTCAGCTGGAAAGTTTGGGACCTCAGTGTCCCATAGGGCTGAACAGACTAGCGAACCGAAGCTTCTTACTGCAGCCTCCAAAGCCATCAAAATGGAGATGGTTAGAGAGGTAGAGGCTGAAGAGGCTAGAGCTGAGGCCGCAAGGCGAGCTGCAGAAGCTGCCGAGAAGGAGGCACTAAAGGAGAAGCCGGTGCGGGAAAAGGAGAAGTCTCCGAGCTTCCTAGCCGGGAGGGAGGAGGCACTGGCCCCAGCCTTGGTGGAGGCTCTCCCTGAAGAAATCAGAAGTGCCATCGAGAGCTTTTACAAGTTCTGGACGGAGAGGTGGCAGTTGCATGCCTCCTCTTGCGATGCCACCGACTAGACAAGGGCATTGGTGAGCCAGAGCGTCCGGACCTTTGGCCTCGTGCTCGAATGCAAGGAGGCCTTGAGCGAATTTCAGATAAGGACCCAGGCCTCGGAGGGGAAGAATGCCTCCCTCGCAGAGGAGGTGAAAGCTGCTAAGGCCGAGGCCGAAGAAGCCAAGGCCCAGAGAGTTGAAGAGGCGACGAAGCTTGAGTCTGCTCTGGCCCAGATTGAGGCCTTAAAGAAGGAAGTGTATGAGTCACAGTACGAGGTGGCCTCCTTGACGAAGAAGGTGGAGGTCTCCAATGAGCACCAAAAGGTGACTGCTGAGGCTCTTGAGAAGACGAATCTCTCCTTGGCCGGTGCTCAAGATGCTTATCAGTTTCTCGAAGGCCAGGCGAAGTGGTACATGAACGACGCCTCTGTTGTAAGAGATGAGGCCCGAACTGCAAGGGAGGAGGTAGTGAAGGAATACATCGCCAATTTCCACACTACAGAGGAGTACAAGAGCTTTAGTTCGTACTGGAGGAACTTCGCCTATGCCGAAGTGCTGGAGCGGGCAGAGGAGCTGTATCCCAATTTGGACCTGGCTCAACTTAGGTCCGAATTTGTGGATGAGGTACCTCAGACCCCAGCTGAGGAGGTCCAGGGTGATGAAGAAGTTGATGCCGAAGCCCCAAGTGTTGAGACAGAGGAAGCAACTAATGATGCCCAAGTTGCCGAAGCCCCAAGTGCTGAGGTGCCTCCGTCATCTAGCCAGGCATAGACTAGGTTTTACTTTTCAGTGTTTTGGATGTAATGGCCAGAGGCCCTCCTTTGTAATCTTCTTTGAAATATCAATATAATGTCTTTCTTCTTTCATTGTTGTTCTTTGTCCAAGTTTTTATACCTCGTTAAACAAATGAACTGGAACTTGATAGAAGCATGAACTAAATAACTTTGTGAGCCTCGGACTGAGATAAACGAACATAACTTGAGTGACTGAACTGTGCGAACCTTGGACTTAAGCAAATTAACATGACTTAAGGAGATGAACAGTGCAAACCTCGGACTTAAGCACATTAACATAACTTAAGGAGATGAACTGTGCGAACCTCGGACTTAAGCCAATTAACATGACTTAAGGAGATGAATAGTACAAACCTCGGACTTAAGCACATTAACATAACTTAAGGAGATGAACTGTGCGAACCTCAGACTTAAGCCAATTAACATGACTTAAGGAGATGAACAGTGCGAACCTCGGACTTAAGCACATTAACATAACTTAAGGAGATGAACTGTGTGAGCCTCGGACTGTAGCGGTTGTGGCTTCTCCCCTCGGCGTTCAGCAAGGCCAAAGGGAGGCATGTGATATCGCCTCGAAGTTCAAGCGAGGTGGCCCAGAGGTGGGTCCCGAGTCTCTCCTTCGAGGTGATGACGCATCCCAGACATGGTGGATGGTGCGGCCATGTTGAGGCTTCTCCCCTTAGCGTTCAGCAAGGCCAAAGGGAGGCATGTGCTAGCGCCTCGGAGTTCAAGCGAGGTGGCTCAGAGGTGGGTCCCGAGCCTCTCCTCCCAGGTGACGACGCATCCCAGACATGGTGGATGGTGCAGCCATGTTGAGACTTCTCCCCTTGGCGTTCAGCAATGCAAAAGGGAGGCATGTGCTATCGCCTCAGAGTTCAATCGAGGTGGCCCAGGGGTGGGTCCCGAGCCTCTCCTCTGAGGTGACGACGCATCCTAGACATGGTAGATGGTGCAGCCATGTTGAGGCTTCTCCCCTTGGCGTTCAGCAAGGCCAAAGGGAGGCATGTGCTATCGCCTCGGAGTTCAAGCGAGGTAGCCCAGAGGTGGGTCCCGAGCCTCTCCTCTGAGGTGACGACGCATCCCAGACATGGTAGATGGTGCAGTCATGTTGAGGCTTCTTCTCTTGGCGTTCAGCAAGGCCAAAGAGAGGCATGTGCTATCGCCTCGGAGTTCAAGCGAGGTGGCCCAGGGGTGGGTCCCGAGCCTCTCCTCCGAGGTTACGATGCATCCCAGACATGGTGGATGGTGCAGCCATGTTGAGGCTTCTTCCCTTGGCGTTCAGCAAGGCCAAAGGGAGGCATGTGCTATCGCCTCGGAGTTCAAGCGAGGTGACCCAGAAGTGGGTCCCGAGCCTCTCCTCCGAGGTGACGACGCAGTACGACACGATGATTTAATCAATGCATTTTATTGAGCCATAGAAATATTACAAAGGCTGGGGAAAGTCATGCAGCATTGTACAATTCATTGGTAATAGATTCTGAGGTGTTCAATGTTCCATGGACGGGGTTGCGCCTTACCGTCCATGTCTTAAATCCAGTAGGTTCCAGATCGGATTTCTTCTCTGATTTTGTATGGACCTTCCCAATTCGGGCCTAGGAAATCAGAACCAGGTTCTTTTGAAGATAGGAAGACCCTCCTGAGCACAAGATCGTTGATTCGGAACGACTTCTTCTTGACTTTGGAGTTGAAGTACCTTGTCATCTTTCTTTGATAGGTGCCTAGCTTCAGCTGAGAGTCAACCCTTCTCTCCTCAATGAAATCGAGGTCGAGCCTCCGGAGCTCGTCGTTGGTCACTTCGCTAAAGTGCAGACGTCGTGGAGATGGAAGTCCGACCTCCACGGGGCTCATCGCCTCAGTCCCATATGCCATGAGAAAAGGGGTCTCCCCAATTGGGGTCCGGTAGTGGTTCGGATTGCCCAAAGTACTTGGGGCAGCTCATCAACCCAAGCTCCCTTGGATACATCAAGCTTCCTTTTCAGGACGTGCTTGATTGTCTTGTTTACGGCTTCAACTTGGCCATTAGCTTGTGGGTGGTGAGGTGTAGAGAAGTGCTTCTTTATGCCGAGCTCTTCACACAGTTCTCTAACCTTCTTGTTATCGAATTGTCTGCCATTGTCTGAGACGATCGAGTAGGGAATTCCAAACCGGCAAATAATATTCTTCCATAGGAACTTGGAGGTGTTTGCTTCTGTGATTTTTGCCAGTGGTTCAGCTTCAACCCATTTTGATCATTGGCATTTATCACATTTTCGCACGAATTCGAGGGCATCCCGTTTCAGGGTAGGCCAGTAGTACCCTTGCCTCAGTATTTTTTGTGCCAGAGATAGGCCTCCAGAGTGGTTACCGCATACTCCCTCGTGGACTTCTCTTAGTATGTAGGTAGCCTCTTCTCCTCCGACGCATCGTAAGAGTGGAGAGGAGAAGCTTCTCTTGTAGAGAATGTCATCAATGAAGAGGAAGTGGGCTGACCTCCTTCTTAGCTAATAAGCCTCATTCTTGTTGGTGGACAGCACCTAGTCTTTTAGATATACTATGATTGGTTGCATCCAGGTGGGAGTTCCACCGACCCACATGACATTAGGGGCCTCGGTAGAAGGCAGGAGGAGGTGCTCGATAGGCACTACAGTGAGTAGCTCTGAGTCTTTGCTACTAGCCAGCTTCGAGAGTGCATCCGCATGAGCATTTTCGATGCGGGAAATCTGGGTTAACTCGAACTTTTCAAAGGATGGGATGAGGTTCATCACCATTTTTAGATAGGAGGCCATCGTTTTGTCTTTGGCTGAGAAGTTACCATTGACTTGGCTAACAACCAGTTGGGAGTCACTACTGACGAGTAGCTTCTTTACTTGCATTTCCTTGGCCAGTCTGAGGCCTGCAAGGAGTGCTTCATACTCTGCAACGTTGTTGGTGGCTTTGAATCCGAACCTCACGGTCGAGGTGAGTTTGTGACCCTCGGGGCTGAAGAGGACAACTCCGGCACCTGAGCCGACCTCTCCAGCTGAGCCATCGACGAAGAGGCTCCACGTGGGGGGTTCGACGGATTCCATGATTTCATCCACCTCGGGTAGGTTGGCGAATTCAGCAACAAAGTCAGCTAAGGCTTGCCCTTTGATGGCTACCCTAGCTTTGAACATAAGGTCAAATTCACTTAGTTCCACTACCCATTTCAACAATCTTCCCGAGGCATCGGGCTTTTGGAGTACTTGCCTCAGGGGAAAATTTGTAAGTACATGGATGGTATGAGCTTGGAAGTAGGGTCTCAATTTTTTAGACGCCGTGATTAAGGCCAAAGCAAGCTTCTCCATATCGGGGTATCGGGTCTCCGGCGATAGGAGCGCTTTACTTGTATAGTAGACGGGAAGTTGGGTGGACCCTTCTTCTCAAATCAGAACCGAACTGATGGCGTCATTGGAGACGGCAAGATATAGTTGCAAAATGTCACCGGGCTTTGGCTTGGAGAGGAGGGGGGCCTGCCCCAAATGCCTTTTCAGTTCTTGGAAGGCCTCTTCACATTCCTCAGTCCATTGAAATTTCTTCCCAGCCTTGAACACTTTGAAAAATGAGAGGCACTTGTCAGTTGCTTTGGAGACGAAGCGACTTAGTGCTGCTACTCGTCCAGTTAAGCTTTGTACCTCTTTTGGCTTTTGAGGGGGCCTCATCTGGCACAAAGCTTCAATCTTCTCGGGATTTTCTTCAATTCCTTGCTGGTTGACCATGTACCCCAAGAACTTGCCGGAAGCCACCCCAAAGGCACATTTCAAGGGGTTGAGCTTCATCCTGTACCTTCTCAGGATTTGGAAGGTGTTGTGAGGTGCGCTATGTGGTTCTCTGCTTCTAAGCTCTTCACCAGCATGTCATCCACGTAGACCTCCATTGTCTTGCCAATGAGGTCGGTAAACATTTTGTTCACGAGTCTTTGGTAGGTTGCTCCGGCGTTTTTCAACCATAAGGGCATCATTCTATAGCAATAGAGGCCTCGGTCCGTGATGAAAGACGTGTGCTCTTCATCGGCCGGGTGCATGGGGATTTGGTTGTAGCCGGAGTATGCATCCATGAAACTCAACAACTCGTGCCCAGCCGTGGATTCCACCAATTGGTCAATCCTTGGAAGCGAAAAGCTGTCTTTCGGGCAAGCTCTATTGAGGTTGGTAAAGTCGATGCATACCCTCCATTTACCATTGTGTTTCTTAACCAAGACCAGGTTGGAGACCCACCTCGGATAGGTGGCCTCCCTGATGAAGCCATTTTGGATGAGCTTCTGAACCTCTTCCTTTAGGGCCTCATACCTCTCAGGGTTGAGGGCTCTCCTTTTTTATCTATGCGGGGTAACATTAGGATCAATTTTCAAGTGGTGGCAGCTGATCTTTCTGTCTATGCCCACCATGTCCTCATGCCTCCAAGCAAAGACGTCAAGGTTCTTGTTTAGGAAGTCCTTAATCTTTTCTCTCAAAATGTTGGATAGGCCTCTGCCTACTTTTAACACCTTGGACGGATCTCGGGGGTCGGCTGAGAATCTCTCAAGTTCCTCTACAGGGGATGCTTGAGGCTCATGTTCCATTATGCGAGGGTCGATCTCATCAACGATCAGCACCTCCTGATTAAGCGGTGCGTCAATCATATCAACATCTTCTTGGTCAGTGGGAGTGTCACCTGGGACATCCACCATGACCACGTCAGCTATGATCACGTGGACGTCCCGGGGCTCTACCTTCTTAATGGAGCTTAGATAGCACTCTCTCGAGCCTCTCATCGTTGCCACCCCATTTTCTGTTGGGAATTTCATGCATAGGTGGTGGATGGAGGTGACTGCTCCCAATTCCTTTAGGGTCGGTCTGCCCAAGACTCCGTGGTAAGCCGACCGGCTGTCAACTACGAGGAACTCCATGAAGTTCATCGTAGTTTGAGGAGATTCTCCCATCTCCACTGCCAGTGTTATCTTTCCCCTCGAAGTGATGCTATCTCCGGTAAATCCGTACA